GCTGATTTCAGTGTACGTTTTCTTTATATTTTAATTATGTTATTATTATGCATTAAAATTTATTATTATAAAATCAATTCCAGTACATTAAAAAGAATAAATTGACATTAATCATAAAACATCTTGATTATTAGGAATAAACATAGTTATGTTAAAAAACTTGAAGTGTGTCCGTGACGTTTTGGGTAAATAAACATGGCGATGAAGGAGTTGCTATCCCGTTAGAATGTAGGTCCCTGGTTTTGCATCATATGTATAATAAATTAAACATGTCCGTGACGTTTTGGGTAAATAAACATGGCGATGAAGGAGTTGCTATCCCGTTAGAATGTAGGTCCCTGGTTTTGCATCATATGTATAATAAATTAAACATTATAATTTGCATACTTAATGGCTTTATTGAATAAGTTTTCAATTGCAGTCATGGTTCTTGTGTATTTTCTTACAGAGAAGAAGCAGAGACATCAACTTATGAGAATCCTGAACATGATCACCCCAGTGTTCTTGACGTTTCATCAAATGATGTTGGTATTGATAACAGTAATCAAAATGATGGTGCAGCATTTGTGCAAGATTTTGAAACTGCCAATGATTCACAACCGGCAAACCAATATTTTCCTGCAGAAATCGAACAAATTGTTTGTATGGAAGGATTCATGGAAAATTGTGAAGAAATAGATATGGAACTTGATTCTGAAGAAAGTGATTCTGTCTCAGGTGATAATGATTCTGAGGGAGAACCGGAACACGATGCTGCTGCTGCAGATCCAGAAGAAGAGGTGAAAGAAGGAGGAAGTGTCCCTTTGTATGTTTTGCCACCCAGTAAATCTCTATTTTCCTCTGAGATTCAGCACAAAGAACATCTCCTCTCTATTTGTGCATATTCAACAAAAAACCATTTGTCCCGCACAGGATTTCAACAGCTACTTAAGCTGATAAATGTCCATCTCCCTGAAAAAAATTTGTGTGAGACCAGCGTCAATAAAGTCAAGGAGAAAATAGGATTTGGTGGAAACTACTTCACATATCATGAGTACTGTGATGTATGCGGTGCTTTATACCCTGAAGATAGAGGTATAGTAAAATGTGAAACACCATCCTGCACTGGATCAAGATCAAGTGATGCTGATGCGACAGGAAGAAGAAAAAACTTCTTCGTCAGTGGGGATTTATACTTACAACTGAAAGAGATACTTGAAAATGAAGAAAATTTTAATGAAGTATTGTCCTCATTTCAAAGATCTAATGATAGTGAGGAAATTCATGACATTACAGATGGCAAGAAGTACAAAGAAATTAAGAAAAAATGTAAGGACATGACTGTCACATTGACAATGTTTACAGATGGAGTTTCCTTATTTAAATCATCAAAAGTCTCTCTATGGCCAGTGTACCTTGTCATCAATGAACTCAATCCACAATCAAGGTTTTTGAAGAAAAACATGATTTTATGGGGACTCTGGCAAGGACAGGGCAAACCTTTGATGAATACTTTCTTTTTTCCATTTGTCAAGGAAATGAGAATGTTATACAACACTGGAATGCAAGTAGAAACTCCATCTGGACAATAGACAGTTCACGCTATAATAAACGCCATGACTATGGATCTTCAAGCAAGAGCATGCGTTTTTAACATGATGCAACATAATGGCTTGTGTGCTTGCCTGTACTGTGAAGAGCCAGGGGTTGTGGTGAAAAGTGGAAAGGGCCATACCCGCAGCTTTCCATTTCGTGAGACTAAACCTCAACTGCGGACAAGATTATCAATTGAAGCAAATGTTCATGAAGCCGTACAATCAAAAAAAGCTGCCTGTGGATTTTATGGAAGGTCCATCATCACACATCTTCCATGGATGGAATTTCAAGAAAATTGTACCATAGACTACATGCATGGCTTCCTTCTGGGAATAACAAAAAAGTTATTAAGCATGTGGATAGATGGAGCCAATTATCAACAGCCTTACTTCATTGGACACAAGCTCAAGGACATAGATAAAATTTTACAAAGTATCAAAGTTCCCTATCTGATCCATCGCAGTCCAAGAAAAATTCAAAACAATCTCAATCACTGGAAAGCATCTGAGTTTCGATCTTTTCTCATCTATTATGGGCTACCCTGCTTAAAAGGACACTTGCCGGATACGTATTTGGAGCATTTCGCTTGTTTTGTTGAAGGAACTTTTTTGCTTCTTCAAGAGAAGATTACAACATATGATCTCGCTAGGGCAAGGATGCTTTTGGAAATGTTTTACAAATGCATGGCAACCCTGTATGGAGATGCTGTCTGTGGCCTAAATGTGCATAACATCAGTCACATAGTGGATTGTGTGGATAACTGGGGACCACTCTGGGCTTATTCATGTTTTGCTTTTGAATCTTTTAATGGAGAAATTTCAAAAGCGATACATGGAAAAGGAAATGTAAGTGGTGAAGTTTATTGGGCAGTCCACAGCGAAAAAATTTTACAAAATGAAATCAAACTGCTTCAAGATGGAAAGCCGAAAGATCTTCTAAAAGAAATCATGTCTGCAAGAAACACCGTAAAAAACAGCAATCTTGAAATTGGAGAACAGTGTTACATAATGAAACCTTTGGTTAAACTGAATTCTGTATGTGATACACTTTTGCAAAATCTTTCTGTTTTGCTAAATATGGAGGTTGGAGAAGTCCAGAAAACTACCATCCTTAAGGCATCGAAAATTCAAAGAAACAGATTTGTTTTTTACAGCAAGTCATGCGGCAAAGTGAAGCGGAATAATTCATTCACTGTCCACCTAAATCAAGATTTTCATGGGTGCGACATTGTTATGGTGGATTATGTAATCCATCTTTCTGACCTTAGGAGAACTTTTGCCCACAGCAGTGGATTTCAGAGGATTTCTAGGATGGTGGAGGGAAGAGCACCCCACGTTGAGCTGTTGGAATTGAAATGGTAATAGATATATATTAAGTTTTAATCTGTTTAGTGTTTACAGACTCAAAAGGAATGAAATAGATGTGCTGGGGGATATGTGTCCTTTCCAATTTTTATATTTTTGACAATGTATACATGGTACAGGTTACATTAGGAGACAAAGATAATTCATATCCTTATACTTGATAATTTTTTTTATCTTATTGATCGCTGTTTTTCTTCCTTTGCAACACATGGGAACACTAAAGCTGATAATTATAATATTTCTCTTAGTTCAATTTTATGGCAAAATGCAAGGTTCTTAATCATTTTAATTGATATTAATGATGTGATTGTGAAGGATGTTTTCTTCTTTAAAACTTAATACTCAGCAACTAGATAGCTTATCTTTCTTGTATTATTTTGTAGGAAAGATCTTCTTGTTCCAGTTCCTTTGCTTGAAGAACTTGTTGTTCACATGGAAGTCAATGGACAGGATATCATTGCTTGCTTTCCTAATTTTGTAGAGAGGGATTAGGAATTTGAATCAGTGTATGAATGCTGCGGGAACCAATCTCAAGTGGATTTTTGCAAACTGTGAAATGTTAACTCGTACACTTTTTGGATAACTAAGTGGCTGTTTATGTCGTGTTTATATGTTTAAAGATGACTGTTTGTAGGTTAATAATGAAATATGAAGTTAATTTTTAAAGCTATTTTTGTCCACATTTGATAATTTAACTGCTTTGTATCAAAGACACAAGTTGTTCTTAGGTAGCACTTGTACATATGATTATATATATATATTTTGTTGATGTAAATTGAACATGTATAAGGAATACACAGAATTTAAAGTCACATTTTGTCATTCATAGAGGGCATAGTATTAGTTATATAAATAATGACATCAAACTTGGAACAGCTCAATTTTTGAATTTTTCATTTCCAATTTTCATTTAGGATTCTGTATATTGATGAAAAATTTCTAAGTCCAATTCTACTGAAAAAATTCTAAGTCCAATTCTAAAAGCTTTTCAAATCATTTCGAATGATTTCCGAATGCATTCCGAATCAATCAGAATACTTTCCATGTGAGAATTATTCCGAATGACTCGGAAACATTCGGAATCCGAATGCTTCCAAGTTGTTCCGAGTAATTCCGAATGAATTCCATGTTGAAATTGATGCCAACTTGGAACTTCTACACACGGGTAATACATCACATCAGAGACAGAAACTGGCTAAAACTTGCCTTACCAAAATAGTGCACTACAAAGAGGAACAACTGCAGTACTTTGCTTGTAATCTTTATGAATGAAGCAAAATATTAAGATTTAAGCAATGTAAAAAAATTTCTTGAAGTTGAAGCAAGTTTTATTTTTAAAAAGTGTGGCAATTTCTATACATTTTCAAACATGACGACAGGTAGGATCATTCAAAAGCTAGAACAAGCATAAATCGTAGTAATATCCCTTGACTGTGCTACAGACATCTTGGAGAACTGTGTTTGGACACAAACTACCAATTATTTTGCTATACATTCCTTAATAACATAAAAAATATTTTAAAAAATTACACCGGTTAAACTTACCTGAAACTTGGCTCAGAGTCAGACCATTTCAAGTCCAAAAAAATACCAAGTTCTCAGGAACATTCATAGTCTGCAAGTCTTTTTATAGCAACGCAAATAACCCCTATCCTGCTTTTTTCACCTTTTCTTCGAGGAAAGGGTAAATATGGGCCTCTTTACACCCTTCCTACGACGCTCTTAAAAACAAAATTTCCTATTATTATCATTTTTATTATTTTTTTCAGACCCTTTCCTTTCCATTTATGCCCCAAAATAACCCCATTCTACTCCATAAACACCCCAAAGAATTTTTAAGAAAAAAGATCCATTCTTAATCTGGAACTACCTGAGTGGTCAATGAAAAAGGGGTAAAATTAGTAGTCTGCAACCGTTTATGTTGTGGCGCCTCCAAGAATATTATCTCATTCACTGCGTTTTTGTCAATCAGCAGATACCTAATTCTCTTTAGAGAAGTAAACAGTCTTTCGTGGATGTAGGCGAAAGCCTGTCCACTTCTCTAAAGAGAATACATTTTTTCTCGGTGAGTAATGTACTTCTAGGTATTGATTAGTTAATCTTTAATTTTTCACAGATTTGACGGGAATTTCCCACTCATTATTTGACGAATCTGATGCAGACTCTTTACCAGATTTAGACAGACAGCTTATGATGGGGGTTATCAGTGAAGATATAAAGACACTGAAGCAAACAACAAACTCTGCCATACAGAAATACTTTTCAAAAAAATAGAAAAGATTGATCAGGTAGTGGAATGACAGATAATGATTCCAAATATAGGGGAAGCGATGAAAAAAAAAGATATACAAAAAAAAGGATAGAAAAAATGAGTCCATTCCTCTCCCACACTCAACATTTAAAAAAAAATATGGTCCTCCCCAACCTTCCCTACAGCACAAACCCAACGTAGTTCACATTTCACCCAAAACAAAGTGTACAGCCAAACTTTTCCCCTGGTCCATCTTAAGATATAGTTCAAATACCCTCTTCCCAATCTTCACTTTAAAAGTTGTTTATCTATTCTTCCATGGTTCAGATTTAACTCTCTCCCACAGCCGTAATTTAAAAGTGTTTCGTCCATCACTTTACTCCAGTCTGCCTTAAAATTGGGTCAGTGTTTTGTGGGATTGGAAATTTGCTTATCGTATGGAAAATTGCAATTAGCATATTTATTCCATAATAGGGTACAACTTGATCCAGATGGCATTTTATTACATTTTTACCCGTGAAATACTGTAATTTATTCATTGAATAAAAATGATATCCTGTCACAGTGTGAAAGGATATCAAAATGATATCCTGTCACAGTATGACGAATATCAGAAGTGCGGGAAAACTCTCGATTTCCCTTCCTATAACAAGGATTGTTGTAAGAAAATCTTCCTTGACCTAATATAAGATAGATGGAAATAAATAAACCATTCTGACAGCGAATAAAAACTGTCAAAATTACGAAAACTATGTTTCTAAATCCATGTTTACAGTGTTTTCACCTCACTAGCTATGACGTCTCAACCGCTCAACTATGACGTCATGTAGCCTATATGACTGTATTACAAAAAGAAAGAGGCAAAGGACAAGAGGCCCATAGGCCACATCGCTCACCTGGGAAGCTTTGACCATTCTGTTCTTTACTAGATTTCCCCACCCATATTGTGACCCCACCCAACCCCACTCATCATAATTTAGACAAGTTGAAATCTATACTACCCCAGGATGCTTCCACATAATTTCAGCTTTTCAAAGTTTGTCCAATATATTTCTATGTAAAACTTTGATTCCCCATTGTGGCCCCGCCCTACCCCCTGGGGTCTAAAATTTAGAATCTACACTACCCCAGGATGCTTCCACATAAGTTTCAGCTTTTCTAGCCCAATGGTTCTTGAGAAGAAGATTTTTAAAGATTTTTCCTATATATTTCTATGTAAAACTTTGATTCCCCATTGTGGCCCCGCCCTACCCCCCGGGGTCATGATTTGAACAATATAGAATCTACACTACCCCAGGATGTTTTCACATAAGTTTCAGCTTTTCTGGCCCAATGGTTCTTGAGAAGAAGATTTTTTAATGAACCCACCCTTTTTTTTCTTTTCTTGATTATCTCCCCTTATTAAGGGATTTGGCCCTTCATTTTAACAATTTAAAATTCCATTCACCCAACGCAGTGTTTTCAATAAGATTTTCAATAGAAGGAAAAATAGATGGAATAGCAGGAAACCAGTCTCGGCGAGGGATCTGGGGGCCGCCTTAGGCCCCCAGCGGGTTCAGAGCAGAGCCTTGGTAGGGGGCACAGGGGGCGAAGCCCCCCGGCCGAAAACGAAAATCAGCGTTTTTGACTCATTTTTCTTACCTCTCAGGCCATTAAAAAAGTAATATTTTTGCACATTCTTGTCACTATCAATTATCAAATTTCACCCATAAAAGCCAATTAGAATTTTTTTTTACCTTTTTACGGATTTGTTTGTTAAGATTTTTGACAGACTGGTTTTTTCCTTCTGAAAGCTAAGTGTCTTTAAAACATTATAGACAACTTAAGTATGAAATTCTTGTACAGACAATTGTCTGTGGTAGAATATTATTATATTTAAAATTCTACATGTTAAGGCTCTTTCACATAAATTAGTCAGGACTTTTATTCAAAACTAAATTATTAAATTTTTTATTCAAAACTCAAAAAATTATTTGGTTGAAAATTTCAGATTTTTTTAACACTTGGTCATGCACAGTACCCCCCAAAAATTGAAATATTCTGCAATCTTAGACTTTTCATAAATTATTCTTTTAATTGATTTACGTTTTTGACATTTTGTACAGATGGTCAGAAAAAAATAATTAAGAAAATGGAATTTGATACAAAATACTAGTACATTAAAACCTATTTAACAGGGGTAGACATTAACTTTTATTTTCACTTGTCCTTTGGGCAAGTGAACTACAATTTTGACTTGTCCGAATGCAAAATTTGGTTGCCCAAATCTTTGAAGAAAAAAAAACCAGTTATTGTACCTTAATTTGTTGTAAATATAAAAGTTGACAAATTAATATCTATTTTGAAGTTATTGCCGGAAAAAATGTTGATATGATGGTGATTCTACATTTGTAAATATACATGTATGTAAAACATATTCCTGTCATTTAACTATCCTGAAAACACACAGAGTACTGCAGGAATATTATTTTCTTAAGATTTTTGTTTGAAATTTAATTTTTCCTCTAAAAAATTGAGGTCAAGCTAGAAGGAAGAGAGTTATGTTTTGAATCAAGATACATCGTGCACCTTGAATAATTGGTGTTCCTCATATTCCTTAATTGGGCAGAGAAAGTATTCTGTAATCCCTATTTCATAATACGACTGTAACGTAAGCTGTCAGACAGATAATCATATTTTTAAACTCAACGAAAGAAGAAAAAAGTCACGTGACCTTCCTCGCTCCGTCTTTTTGACAATTTTTTGCTGTTTTCAAAGGCTTTTTGATCCAAAAATCACTCAACGATTTCGCCATCACCTAGTTGTCACATAGGGGACCTTTTTGTGCAGAAATCGATTTGCAAAATTGTGATAGTTTGGGATCTTTCTTTGTTAACAGTTCGGCTGATCGGTGAGTACGTGTTCACCTGTGTTTACTTTGTCATTTACCTGTCTATTATAAACTGTCAATCATATGTCCTAAACATCGAGAGAAAAATAAAAACTTCAATCTCAAGATGGAAGCATTATCTAAACCTGTTTATCTAAAAAACAGTGAAATTCAAATGAACAGAAACAAAAGAATATCTGATTTTGAGCTTATGCAAAGTGTGATTCGGTCCGTCGGGGATAGGGTACCATGCATACAGCTCGACCGTGACCTCTGGCAAATATATTTGATCGATGATCAAAGCCAACAAACATTGCTCGCGCAAGGGGTTGACATCAATAATCAAAACTTCAATGTCTATGACCATAATCCTTACACAACAGGCTCAAAATCCCCTGCAGATAGAGTTCTCAAAGTCACTGTGTCTGGCGTGCCTCTCTCTGTAGATGACAATGAAATTCTGGCAATGCTTACTAAACTAGGTGCAAACCTAAAAAGCGATCTACAATATGAAAAAATAAGAAATCCCGTGACCAAAAAAATGACTGGTGTGTTGAATGGCAACAGATATATCTACATAGAGCCTTTCGCAGATAACAAATTCCTACCCCTCACGAGCTACTGAGCAGGAATTCAGTGCCGCATCTATCATTTTGGTCAACCAAAACCTCCAAAAAGAAAATGTCGCATTTGCTGGAGTTCGGATCACCCAACCAATGAATGCACGGAGGAATCCAAGTGCAAAGTTTGT